ATGACTACTGTTTTATTGGAAGTTTTATTTATTTCATAATTGTGACATCCCTTGTTCTGTGTTAACTCTGATGGAATATGTCTTTAATCATTGATATAATTAATATTATTCGGGGTATTTTAGAAGGGGTGTTACATTGAGCTTTAAAGGATTGCAAATACGCAAGAGCTACAAAATCCCTCAGGCCAAATATGGGGTGTAATTCCTCAAGAGTGTAAATTATCTTAACTACCACACACCAAGTATGGATACTTAAATACTTGAGAAGTAAGAAAGGTTGTACACCAAATCTTACTCGCACTCTAATCACAAAGGCTAACACGGGCAAAAATACCACAACAAGAGTTTTCAAAAAGCAAGACGCTTGGTAAATGAATTGGATTGTGGATTTGTGGGAAACTGACACGAGGTCAAGAATGCTCGCAGATAGCAACAACGAGAATTTTTGTCTTGAGGAAAACCTGTGGAGAATACCACTTGGGATTTCTGATTAATAGAATCTCTTCGGAGATGCAAGGGTGCCCAAAAAAGGATTTAATCTGACTTATGCTTCAATGCATGTTTTATATTTTTCTTTTTAGCGTAATGCTCTAAATCAATGGAAATGTTACGCGCTTTTAGAAGATGCAATGCAATGCAATGCTGATTACTATATGCAAGGTGCCGAAGCGAGGATATCTGCTGGGAACTCCAAGGATAGAATCCCATCTCCTGGAATCTGCTAAAGAAAACCCACAACCTAGAATCAAATCCTGATCTCGGCTGAGGATAACAATCCTAATCTCAGTCGGAGATAATAATCCTTGACTTCCATCGAAGAATGTCAACAACCCCAACTTAGGTCTCTAGCTTTTGATGGAGGAACACCAATACATGGATTTACATCCCTGACGAGCTGAGAATAACAATCTTGACTTCCCGACATGCTCTTCAAATTCATAAGTTGTTTAGACTGTGATTAGACTTAACCTGATCAATCCTTAAATGGAGGAATTCCCATGCATAATGCCTTGCCCTAGTCTGTAGGGATTTTGGAAAAAACTTGCCTCGAGAGGACTTTCTAAGGTCTGTACCGTCAAGATAAACAACCCCAGTATTATGAAATTTGGAGCACGGATCTTGGCTAACCAAAGTTGGAGATGGTTTCAACCATGCTTGGGTGAGTGCCCCTGATTACTCAACACTTTGAGGGATTCTTCAAATCTTGGCAAAACTGCCCCAGTTTGAATGTACTTTTAGGGATCAAATCCTGACTTGAGTGCCTCAGGTTGGCTGAACACTTACTCAACGAGTATTCAACATGCTTTCCCCTGCTCAACAAATTTTTGACAAACCTTTTCTCCATCTCATGCTCATGGAGAAATGAGAAACTTTCAGAGTTTTGGAGACAACATAACCTTAGGGTGGTTGGCTTACATCTTGAAGGTAGGTTAGTACACAACTGTACTTCTCCACTTGAATGGATTTGTTCTCCAATCGGATACTTGAAAAAAATATGTCCCTCGGAACCAACTGAAAGTAGTGCACCGCTGCTCGATAGAGACTCTAGGCAATCAACTTTTGCAATCTGCTTCAGAAACTGGTATTATTTTACTCAATAGAGTCAATAGAAGGTCTGCCCCAAATTAAGGCCATTCTCGAAAATGATGATTTACCTCTCAACTGATTCCTGAAGCAATTTGCCCCACGAGGTAATCAAACTTTCATCTGATGCTCATTATGTAAGCCTGCTTAATGTTTAAGCACTTGCTCAGATGCAAATAGAATGTTTATTCTAAGAACGCTAATTCTAATGCAAAGATCATGTTTGTCTTGATGTTTTAAAAAAATATTTATTGAAAAGATTAAACATAAAAAAATTGTGAAAGAAATTAAAAAGATGGTGTGATACAAACTCAAAAGTTTTAGCAAGCCTCCTAAGAATCAGGTTACCATATTCTCGTTACAGTTTTGCTTTCAAATTAACCCATGTTTCAGTTATGACTTTTCAGGGTTGTAATGTGGCCTGGTTCACGGTTTTTAGAAAATAGGATTTAAGGCTCAAAATATTTGGTGCCCACCCATTCTACATGATATTCTCCATTCCTACATTCAGTTAACTCGATACAAGCACTCATCTCTCAAGAGAAGTTTGGAATGGTTGAGGAGTCAAACGAGGTTTTTTTGGGACATGATAGTCACCCACCTTCTTCCTTTCTTGGTGTCTGATCACACGACTTGGTTCCTTGTTTAGGGTTTTTATTTGGTAATCCTTTTTCACTTTTCGGGAGTTTCATTTTCCCTAAACTTTTCCTAGACAAATTCCTTTTGAATTTGAATCTGAAGTCCAGCGGGATGCCCTGACTTTTTCCTAAGCGACCTATTTTCCAAGTTTCGACTTAGCGGGGCTTTTTGTCTCTCTCTTTTTGTCATACCCCAATTTTTTACCTAACATCCCATCTCCATTTTTTTCATTTTTTGTTATATACATCAAGGTCACGAAATATGGTCGGTTTCGAACGTTTCACCTTCGAGCATTGCATGTGCAGAGATTATCGAGTGTTGTTAACATTTTATCTTATGCATGACTAACTTCTAATCAAGCACGAAGTGTACATTTTTTGTTTCTTTGATTTCATGTGAAGAAACAGGTTCGAATCAAGAGCATCAGGCGTCACGCCTCAATTAGGGTTTTGAGTCTCTCAAGCCAGAACTACAGTTGATCATTGATTCTTGGAGACTGATTCATCAAGAGAATCATGTGTTTATTTCCATGATATGTTTCAACAAGTGGCCTCAAGCGTCTCCGAAATTCAAAAAAGAAACAGTCAAAGTTCCATGATCACTGGTTCACGTGTGTTTCACTTTTCCTTGAAATACAAGAAAAGATCAAGCTATGCAAGTAAATCCCAAACACTTTGACCAAAAGTAATCTGCAATTTTTCTCTAAAAGTTGAAGACAAATTGTGTTTAGAAAGCCATGAGAAGACTTTATGAGACGTTTGTCATGATTTAAGAGTTTCGGGATTCCTAAGTTCAGTTCACTATGACAATTTCTTAATGCGATAACATTTCACCTCAAATCCCCTTTCTAGTGATCATTCAAAGCTTTTAAGCATGGTTCGATTTCTTATGCTTACATGACGATGCAGGGTGAATTTCGTTAGAGTGGGATGATTATATTCAAGATCTCTTTGGAAGAATTTATTCGGAATACTTGGATTTTTCATCATGTGAATTCAAGTGTTAATTAAACAGAAGTTATCAAAATGGCTCATTCAAGAATAATCGTTCATCACATTAGTATTTATTCAAGATTATTTTTGTGTGACTATTTTGATGGATTCACATCATGGCCATTTGAATTCACATGAGCCATTTATTAAAGAAGATGTCGGAAAAGGAAACTTGATTCAAATAATCATTCATCACAAGAATAAATATATGATGGTTACAACTTCATTACAAGATCAACTCATATAATTCATTTGAATCTCTAATACAAGATGCAAGAGTGAAGACTTAATAAGGCTTGCATTATTATTTATCCATTATTCAACAATTCATTCAAATATCAATCAATTCTTTTCCAAATTCAAATGGAAGATTTTGAATTTCATCAAGATAAATATCAAGATTCAAAGTTACAAATGATCCGAAATGTTTACGATTACAAGAGAGTTGAGAGAATCATATTCAAGACAAGTTTCCATTCATGTTATAATTTTATTTGGAATTATCACTACAAAGTTACAAGAGGAATTACAAGTTTGTACATAAAATCAAACTATTATTTCTAATGTCCTAAAATTCCATCCCAATATCATGTTCCTGCTCTTATTTTCCAGCCCTGTTGCAATACAATAAGTCCAATTTTTTGTGGTATTTTGCTGTCTAAAACAACAGCAATAACAGTCCAAGGAAACAAGCAAAACAGCCCCCAAAATCTACTGTAAAAACAGCCTACAAAATAGTTCCAAAACTGTTATAAAAATGCATTAAATTAGTCCAAAAAAACAGCAACCTATAATAGTCCCAAATGCTGCCAGAACACTACTGTAAACTAGTCTATACATCCTGTTGCCCTGCATCGTGACAACCAAGAAATTACATCAAAATGGATAAAGAAAAATTGTATGAACAAAGCATCAAAATAGTTTGTCAAAACAGTTCAAATACCCTACCGTTTTCCCCCTAAATGCCTTGTTACTTCACTATAAAAAGCCCTATTCATGGATAGAAAATGACAACAAAAAAGTCAAGGAGAGACAACAAGAAAAAAACTCAGCAAAAGGAAAACAGAAAAGAGGGGAAGTTTGTTCAAGTTTTAACAGCAAATAATCAAAGGTAAAGAAGTTTAAGCATCAACAAGAGAGGGAGGGAGAACTTACTGTTTTTGAAGCTCCATCGGAGAGGCTCCGATAAATATTTCTTCTTCCTTATTTACTTGTGCATAACTTTCTCATATGTCCATCAATTTGAATTTTCTTTGCACCATTTTTTTTGCCATACGATGCTTGCTTTATCATACCTTCTTTGTTGTATTTTTTTTAGTTGATGCATTTGTTGATATTTAGAATGTTTGAAAAATAAGTAATGATAATAAAAAATAGCAGACAAAAGGTACGGTAATAACATAAAATTCAGAGATACAAACATACCTTCAAATTTCTCTGCTCAAATACTCCCTCCCTATTTCCGCCGAACACCATATTCCAGCAGCTTCTTCAGCATCAACACTCATTCACTAATCAAAATTATCATCCATAGCAGCAACATCAACAACACCTTTAACAATAATAACAACAGCTTAACATTCTACTGAAACAACGACACCGACAAAAATTACACAGGAATTCGTAAAAAACACGTTAACATACCTATTCCAAACCTAAAATTAACCTCCCTAATCAAATCCCTAAATGTAAATTTGTTGCTGCTTCCTCTGTAATTTCCATCATCTTTAATCTCACTTGCCGTAACGCGAACGAAGACACTGAGATCTAAATCTACACTTCAACATGAAGTTGAACGTTTCGAATCCCACCACTGGATGCCAGAAGAAGCTTGAAATTAATGATGACCAGAAGCTTCGTGCTTTTTGGGACAAGAGGATCTTTTAGGAAGTTAATGGTGATGCTTTGGGAGAGGAATTATAAGGCTATGTTTTCAAAATTGCTGGAGGGTGTGACAAAAAAGGTTTTCCAATGAAGAAAGGAGTGTTAACTCCGAGTCGCGTTTGCCTCTTGCTTCACTAAGGAACTCCTTATTTCCAAGGACACAAAGGAGAAATGGGGAGCAAAGGAGGAAGTTTGTCCCTGGGTGCATTGTCAGCCCAGATCTATCAATTTTGAACTTGGTGATTATGAAAAAGGGTGAGAATGATTTACCTGGCATGGCCGATGTTGAAAAGCCAAGTATTATAGGTCCCAAGAGAGCATCCAAAATACGTAAGTTGTTCAACCTGTCTAAGGAGGATGATGTAAGGAAGTATGTCAACACCTACCGTAGAACATTCACAACCAAAGTTGGGAAAAAGAAGAGCAAAGCTCCCAAGATTCAACGTATGGTTACTCCTCTCACTCTCCAAAGAAAGTGAGCAAGATTTTGCTTAAAGAATGAGAGATAGGGGTTATTGAAGAAGAGGAACAGCTAGAGTTTTAGAAGATGAGGGTGAGGATGCGTAAGGTATGGATGAGAGAGAGGATAATCTTTTTTCGTTTTAACTTTTTTCTTTTAATTGTTTTACTGGAAACAAGAACAATAATAATCAATCTATTTTGCCTTCCCAATGACCAAGCAACATGCGGCGCCTCTCTAATCGTTTTAGGGTTTGTAACTTTTCGTTGTTTCTTCCCCAAAACCGGTTCAGCCCAATGGGCCTATTGGCCCAATCACTCAACCATATTCACCTTATTTGTTAATAGAATCATAGATATAACAGATAAATAACATAGTTCAATTGACAAAGCACACCACCAATAACCTTAAGTTACCTGAGTTCAACTCTTTGCTGGGCCATTTTTCTGTTTTTCTTGATTCTTTTAGTCTTATTTCCAATTTTAATTAAATATACTTGATAATAAAATATTAACTTAGTTTATATTTATAATTTGTTTCTTGCCATTAAAAAAATACAAAAACATGCTTTTTATTAAATTAATCTTTCACTTATTTTTTGTTATTTACTCAAATACATGTCATCTTTTATTTAATTTGTGTTAACATTCTATTAATCTTTTATTTAATTTTTTACAAATATATGTTAATAAATTATCTTTTATTTAATTCTTATCTATTTAAATACATGCTTATAAACTAATCTTTTATTTAATTTTTTCCGAAAATGCATGCTAGTATAATTTAGTTTTCGTTATTTATTTGTTCAATTGTCATTTTAGTTAACTTTATTCTCGATCATTTAATCTTTGTATCTTTCGTCCGTCTAAATTCCAAGGAAAATGTTTTAATTTTGTTGACTTCATATCATCAAAAATACATCTTATATGATTGAGTGAACCCCTTTATTCATTTTTGTTTTACTATTTTTGTTAATCTTAAGTTAATTTTCCTAAAAGACTCAATTTTAAAACTCACACCTTTTAAGTCAAAACTTCGACATTAGGTCGTCGCATCTTCAAAATCTCGTCCACACCCATTTTGACCATACAAACCATTTTAATCAAACAAACAATTTCAATCAAAATTGATATTTCAAAAGGTTCATATGGAGTACCGCAAATGTATTGGGTGCTAATACCTTCCCATTGTATAACCAACCCCCGAACTCTAGATCTCTTTCAAAAAACTCATTGTATTTTCATTACTTTTAAGTATTACTTTACATTGCATATTCAAGAGTTTTATTTCGCTCTTTTCCCTTTTCCATTGGAAATAATAAAGCGTGGTGACGACTCTTGCTTTTGTGAGTCAAGTTAATTAATAGCCCGATCTCTGATTTATGCCGCTACATTTTTTATCGCTACAAAATTGGCGAATCTCCTGGGGATAGATTGACCTCTTGCTGGTCCATCCCTAAGTGGGTTAAGCCTATTTATCATATTTGTTTTTATTTGTTTGTTTGTTTTATTATATGTTATATGTGTTGATGTTACTTACAAAGGACAAGTCCTATTCCCAGACTAAGTTACACTTAGGAATAGGATGGACGGTATAGTCATGTTAACTTTGAGGGAGTAATCCAGAAGAAGGAGACATGAAATCCCCCACTCAATGGAAGCCCCTTTGACTATAGTATTTGTTTACCAATTAATCGGGAAGACGTTATTGCTTTTGACCTGGAAGCCAGAGAAGCTGAGAACCGTAGAACCCTTAAACCATCTTGGCCTCTTAGGAGTAGCGTGGAAATTATAACAGAGTAATCCGGAAGTAGTTGTCACGCGATGCTACACTTAGACGAGTTTCTCTTGAGAATATTGCTAATTACCGAGTAATCGAGACGTTGGTAATATCCGAAGGAGGATCGTAGACTCTAGGAACCTTTAGAACCTTGTTTTACAAGTGTGATTAAACCTTTAGTACATACCTTGGGGGTGGCCTTTACCTTTGATTCCATGCTCGAAGTGTTGAACCTTTGAACCCTATGTTTGTGAACTTATGTGTAATTGTTGCATTATCATTCATTCATGCATCCATAAGCATTCTTTAAACATGTTTATCAAGGAACTTAAGAATGATTTTGTAGACATCTCAGGTACTCTTACTATGGATTTTGGAAAAATAAACACTCGTAGTTACAGTTTCAAGGATCCTGAGATTGAAGAGTTGAAGAGTTTGATTACCAAGATTGAGAACCTTACAGTTTTCCAAAAGAAATATGGATCTATTATTCCTCTTATGAAGCACAAGATGAAGGAGGGTATCCTTACTACATTGGTCCAGTTCTATGTTCCATTGTATCGATGCTTCACTTTTCCTGATTATCAATTGATGCCCACTTTGGAAGAGTATTCTTATATACTTGGTTTACCAATCATCGATTGTGTTCCTTTCTCCGGTTTAGAAGGGGAATCCAAATCTCATGAGATAGCAATAATTACCCACTTGAGGAAGTCTGAGATAGAAGATAACATGACTACCAAGGGAGGAATCCGAGGTTTACCTGCCCAGTTTTTGTTGAAGAAAGTTCGTTACTTCACCGAGATAAAGGATAATGCCACCTTTGAAGTCATCTTTACTTTGATTTCTTATGGGTTGTTCTTGTTCTATAATATTGATAAGTTTGTGGATATGAACGCCATTAAAATCTTCTTGATTGGAAATCCAGTCCCTACACTGCTAGGAGATACCTTCTATTCCATCTATCTTCGGAATTCCTACCAGGGTGGGATGATTATCTATTTTGCACCATTGTTATACCGGTGGTATGTTTTCCATTTAACTGGGTCTGATGTTTTTGGAGATCTCAAGAAGGAGCCACGATGGGCGCCAAAAATTATGGATCTTACTCATTCCGACATAGATTGGTATAATCAAGCTTATTATGATGTGAAGATCATGGATAGTTGTGGTGCTTTTCCCAATGTGCCTCTTCTTGGCACGAGGGGAGGAATTAACTATAATCATGTTCTTGCATGCTGCCAGTTTGGATACGCTATGAAGGACAAACCGAATAACATTCATCTGAGTGGTTTCTTTCTCCAAGAAGGAAAAAATCACAAAGCAGCTAAGGAGGAGATTGAAAGGGCTTGGCTCCATGTCCATAGAAAGGGAAGAGACATGTTAGGACAAAGAGATGTTGTTTCTTTGGAGCCTTACCTTCAATGGGTTTGTGCTAAGGCCTGTGTTCTCAAGATGACTTATTATCCCTAGAAACCTTTATTCCCTGTTGCTACAACGGCATCTACTGCCATTCCTATTGAGAATATGAAAGAGTATCAGGAAAATCTGGGTAGAATGGAGTTTTAAAGAGATGCTTGGAAGGAAAGGTATAGCATGTCAGAATACGAAAGTATGGTCCTGACTCAACAGCTGAAGGAGAAGGAGGATATGCTATTTATTTAAGATGGTTGGTTTATTTATTGTGATGAGAAGCTTCGTCAGAAAGATGCATTGCTCAAGAAATATGCTAAGGAAAAGAAGAGAAAGAAGGAAGATTTGGTAGGCTTTACTCATGTTCCTAATCCATGGAAGAAAGTCATTGATCAGCTGGTAGCCTAGAAGATAGAGATGGAAGACTTCTATGAAGAGAAGATAATTAAGATCAAGTTACAAGTAGCATTTGGTCCTTCGTCCGATGATGATTCTCATTGATCTTAGTCCCTAGCTTTTATTATTTATGTAATTTTGTAAAACTCTTTAAAAGGGAATTATGTTCCAAAGTTGTAATTTACTATTTTTATTAATGAAATGAGTTTTGTTGTTACAAATTCCTTTACCATTGATGTTTGCAAAGTTATCAAGTTTTAAAGTTTATTGAAAAACTATCAAAATAAAACATCATTTGCATCACATATCATGCATCATTCAACATTCAATCTTACATGTTTTCTAGAGTCTTACCCCTGCTTCTTTTTCCACTCAGATAGATCGTCAAGCTGTTTCACCAGTATAATACTCGAGCCAATCATGGAAAGAGAATGGAAGTTCCAGAGTAAAAAAGTCACGAGCTTCGCGAGGAGGTTACTACTCTTCATACTGGAATGGAAAAATTGACCGCTTTGGTTGAAAGCTTGATGGCTGCTTAAAATCAACCATCGACTTTGTCCACTGAAGCTCAAACTCAAACTATTGTGGTTTCCGAGATCGTCACTGCTCTAGCGTCTTTGGCTCAAGTCAACCCTGTGCAACATCAAATGCCAAAAGGTTTTCCATGGGGTATGCCTTAAAATTTTACGCCAGAAGGGTACTAGCCTACTGTGCAACCCATGATTCAACCTGTCATGTATTTTCCTCAACCTGATATGACTACTGTGCAACCTATGATCCAGCCTATGGTATCTTTCCCTCAGCCTGTAATGACTATTGTCGCTCTCATGGTTCACACTATTTCATACACAAATGAACCCATTTATCATGCTGAACCTACTGAAAGTTTAGGCATCTTCGATAGAATGGGGGAATTCCAAGACCAATTTCAAGAAATGCATAGGGAAATTAGAGCACTCAAAGGGAAATACTTGTTCGGGAAAAATGCTCATGACTTGTGTTTGGTCCCAAACTTGAAAATTCCAGCTAAGTTCAAAGTGTCGGACTTTGAAAAATACAAAGGTGACTCATGTCGGCAAAGTCACTTGAACATGTATGTAAGGAAGATGTCCACCTACTATAAGGATCACAAGCTATTAATTCATTACTTTCAAGACAACTTAACTGGTGCCGCCTTGAAATGGTACGTGGGTTTGGATAGCACCCGAATCCGCAACTTCAATGACCTTAGTGAGACTTTTGTTCATCAATACGAGTACAATGTTGACATGGCCCCGGACTGAGATCAACTCTGAGCTATGTCCCAGAAGGATAGATAATCTTTTAAAGAGTATTCCCAAAGGTGGCGTGAGATTGCCTCTCAGATCTATCCTCCTCTCGAAGAAAAAGAAATGATGAAGATTTTTCTGAAAACATTAGGTCCCCTCTACT